ATCACCTAAATTACCTCAAAATTACTTATTGAAAGAATCTGTACATTTTTTAGCCTCTTTAGCGGTACCGAACGTTTGGCGTATACCAATTCCGATTGAGCAAACTGTCGGGAGTTCGGATGTTCACTTGTACCAAAAGGAACATTTAACAATCACGTGGTAAGGAAACGTTTTGCTTCTTTTAGCTATCCCGTTAGCACACAATTAGCATAACTCGGTAATAAATCAGATTCTCAGAGCATTCATTAAAACCTTTATTTACTCGCGCTCACTGTGCATGAAATCTCTTTGTAAAATAGTTACGAAATAACGACGCCTACTCGTATATTGATCTCTTTAAAATTTACCTTTTGCGGTAAAAGGGCCTATTTTGCCCGTAGTTTTCTAGAGGGAAGAATGTTAATATTTCAGATTTTAATTCTGTCAATTTAACCACATAAGCATACGTAAACAAGTCTTAAAAAGGAAATCTTTATGTAGGGCTGAAAAACCACCAAATTACCCTCGAAATTCCTTTTACTCTCAGCTATTTGCGCCCAATATCCATTATTATCTCTCGATATAATTTGACCGTGCTTTCAAAATCCATTTAAGTCAATTTTCAACTTTATTGATGCTTTCGTTCGTCATACATATAATTATTTGATACACAAGTCACTGAAAAAGTTGCTTTATTAGCCAAAATCCAGAAAACAGCTCGTCTGTAACGGCTCTGTCTTAAATGGTAATTAGGCTGGTCTGGCTTTATATTTAAAGAACATTCAGAGAATATGCAGAAGATTATGACTTATTGGCTTTATTTGCAAGGGAACAGGCACAAGTTTTTTTTCGAATTCATGGCCTCGTACAAACTCGACATTAAATTTGGGAAGTTTTACCAATTCAAATTTTAAGTAAAATTCTTATCAAAGCCCTTGGTTTTTGTTCCATGTTACTGTGAGGCCCTTGAGAATGGCCTCCTTCCGATGAAAAATGGTAACTCTTTAGTTCAACTCATGTAGCTCTCCCCCCCGTCCCCCTCGAAAAAAGAAAAAAATGAAAAACTAAATAATCAAACAACAAAAATCAACATTTCCTGACGTCATGATTGTTTCATGAGTATGCAACTTAATAGCCATTGCAAATTTCTTTTTTCATTTGTTAATATTGACTACAGTGCATGAGCGAAAATCTATATTGCTACTGCTAAAAAGACCATTGACTTAACTGAGAATGCAGC